CTCACGGCTGAGCTGGTCTTCACCAGGGCCAGCTGCTTCCCTGGGGGGCAGAGCAGGGAAAAAAGGGGTTTACAGGGAGCTGGGAAGGGAATTCAAAATTCAAAACAGCCTGGGAGAGCATGGAATGGAACCTGGAATGATCAGGGTGGGAATTTAGGAGTGGATTCAGTTCCACACCCTGTGCTGAGATGTCACTTCCAGCCTTGCTTGGGGCAGCCTCAGATTTAAACAGGGGAGGGGAAAAGGAATTTTCAAGGAGCTTGGAAATTATTCTCTCATTAAAAACACCCATGCTCATTAGGAGAAGGTGCTGGAATAGAATGGAACCCTGGAATGGAATCTGGAATGATCAGGGTGGGAATTTAGGAGTGGATTCAGTTCCACATCTCTGTGTTGTGACAATTCCAGCCTCGCTCAGGGGAATCTCAGATTTTAACAGAGGAGAGAAAGAGGAAATTTCAGGGAGTTGAGAAGTGATTTCCTCATTAAAAACAGCCTGGGAGATCATGGAATAAAATTCTGGAATGATTTGGAAGTGAATTTAGGAATGGATTCAGTTCCACACCCTGTGCTGAGGTGTCACTTCCAGCCTTGCTTGGGGAGCCTCAGATTTTAACAGAGATGGGGAAGAGGGATTTCAGGGAGCTGGGAAATTATTCTCTCATTAAAAACACCCATCCTCAATGGGAGAAGGTGCTGGATTAGAATGGAACCCTGGAAAGGAATCTGGAATGTTCTGGGAGGGAATTTAGGAGTGGATTCAGTTCCAGTCCCTGCTCTGTGACAATTCCAGCCTTGACTGGGGCAACCTCAGATTTTAACAGAGGAGGGAAAGAGGAATTTTCAGGGAGCTGGGAAGGGATTTCCTCATTAAAAACAGCCTGGGAGATCATGGAATAAAATCCTGGAATGTTTTGGAAGTGAATTTAGGAGTGGATTCAGTTCCACACCCTGTGCTGAGGTGTCACTTCCAGCCTCGCTCAGGGGAATCTCAGATTTTAACAAGAGGAGGGGAAAAAAGAATTTTCAAGGAGCTGGGAAGTGATTCCCTCATTAAAAA